TTTCACAACATCTATAAGTAAGAAAACTCACAAATTCACAAAATCAAATGAAAAGATCATTTAGGCCAACTTTCATGTCAACATTGACTTCGCATTTTTCTCAGATTAATATTCCTTAACATATGAAACAAACAAATTGACATTTATCAAATTGGAAAAAAACTATAATTCGAAAAATCTGGAGTTCAAACAAACAAATTGACATTTATCAAATTGAAAAAAAAAACTATAACTTTGTAAAGTCTGTAGTACGAACAATAAATAACATAACATAAAATAGTACTATGATAGATAAAATGGTCAATTTTCCAAAAGAAGTTCCGGACAGAGTTTTCTCGAGTGATATTCCTCGTACTCAAATAAGATTAAACAGACAAATTTTCAAGAAGTAAACAATATTTTAAAAAAACACTACTCATTGAAATGCTCATTCATTATTAAAAAAGGGAATAGTAAACCTGCCCTAAAAGAAAGGGAGAAAGCAGTGCTAATTTAGAAATATAATTATGAAAGAGAAAGTAAACTTGCCCCCAAAAAGAGCAACAACAGAAAATGGACTATCAATTACCGAACCAAAAAGATCAACAACAGTACCTAGCAGCGTGCGAGTGTTGAATCTGATAGTATCCAGCATGGTGGCCGAGGTCTTGAAGTGAAACTCCAGCAGTGTCGACCAAGTTGGGGAACTTGAACTCCTTCTCCACAATTTTGGGTCTATCGGAGAAACTACGATCATCTACGATATTGATTGATTCCTTGGGGAACAAATTGAGCTCACGGATAAATTTCTCAGCCTGATTCGACGGGCTAATAGGCAGCTGAAGCAAAGCAGTAACTGAAGAGAGAGGTGAAATGAGAAATAGAATGAAAAGAGCAACGGGTGTTGAAGAATTTCTCCTCATTTTCATACAGTGAAGCCACCGAGTGGGGAGTGTGGGATAGTTGGGCATGGGGAGACTGAGACAGAGAGTGGATATGCAAATGGAGATATCTGGAAGATTTGATTAAAAACACTGTTGATAAACTTTCACCGAAGTTTAGGAACCATCTAGTTTTTGTTTCAGAAAAGTCCCTCAACTTTATTTTTCATTTCAATTTAATTACTTAATTTTGTTTTTTGGTAGAAGAATAATAGGTAAAAAAGAACTATTGTTTCTCTATTAGTAAAAAATAGAAGTAAATCATTTGCTATCCAGAAGAGGAAAAATTCAATTCGTCCAACTTTAGCATGGTTGGCTATGTTAAAAAAAAAAAAAGAAAAGTAAAATCATTTGTTAAATAATACGATTTTGAGTCTATTTGACGTAAAAAGTTTAAAAATCGATTTAGTAAAAATTGTTTTTTTTAGAACGTGTGATTAAAAGTAAGAAAAAATTTGAATTTACGTGTAAAATATTTTATTATATGAATGTATTATTGAAAATGAGCATGTAGAAGAAAGAGTTTTCAAATAATAGTTGTCAAAAGGGGCTAACAATCAAAATGTTTTGAATAGTGATTTTTCTTTTTCTTCTAATTAATAACACATTTTTCAATAAAATAATATTACACGTAACCCAAAAATATTTCATTCTTTTTTAACCACACATTCTCCAAAAAATTATTATTCCTTTCGTTATAATGTGGACTAATGGGGGCCAAATATGCACGTATTTTGATTAAAAAGAAGAAGAGTATTTGCTGGTCTTACAATTTTAGATTGAACATATTTAACGAGAATTATCTACAATTTGAATCAATAAATACAGAAAAAGAATAATGTATATACATTTAAACAAGGGAGGGGGGGGGGGTGTGAGTGAACCAACATGAAATTTAATTAATTTGAACTAATAGATATATAAAAATAATAATTTATATTTTTTTTTTTTTTTTTTTTGCAGAAGTGGTTCCTATTGTATTGCCTCCCTGCAGATTAAGGACTCGTTCTTTGAATTTTGACAATCGCATCCTTATGTGAACTTTTTGTATTGCCCCCTGCTCATTTTTATGTTTTTTGTGGTCAACATTATTGTAAATATAAAGCCTTTTTTATTCAGGCAGAATATATTCTAATCGCCTAAGACCATCTCTAAGTACAACGTAAGGCTATGCTTCTTATTTTAAGTGTATGCGTCTACAAATTGTTCAAATAGTTTGAAGTTATGAAGCATGGAAATTTATGAGATGCAATGTTTAGTTTCGCAAATTAGAAAAAAGATTTCTTTTTTCAATGCAATTTGAAAAGTCCATGGACCTTTGCGTCAAAAAATCTCAAATATCCTGGCAAAAAAAAAACGTTAGCCATTGTTTGACCCACATTATTTCTAAAATATATTTTTCTTTCTCATTTTATCAATAAAATAATATTACACGTAAATTCAAAAAAATTTCTTATTTTTTAACAACACATTCTCCATCAATTTACCTTTTCAAAATGCATTTTTAACCAAAAAATAGGGCTCAAGCATGCTCTAAATTACAGGCTTTGACTAACTTTATATAATGGGTTTTATTACACTAAATGAATTAGGAAAAATAAATAACTACAAGTATTTCAAAATGCATTTTCAAAAATAAGAAACTTGTAAAAATATTTCAAATATCGGTTGGTCACCGTCTAATAAAATTTTGTCACGTATTAATTAATTAAACAGATCATTATCACTGTACACACACAATTAATGATCTTGATTATATATCAATCACAAATCAAACAAGATCATAATTATAAAAATACAATTACAAATTTAGTTGCAAACTGCACATTTTTATATGCACAAATAATCCAATTAACGAGTCACAATCACCATTTATCTCAACCTACTAAAACACCCCACCCCCATCCCTACCGCAAGCAGCAACCGTGGACAGGCAAGCATCCAAACCCTTATCTCTCATCACCTCCATTGCCACGTCAACCACACTTTTTTTTTTCTAATTTATAAGCGTAGTGTACACATTTCATGCCAAAACCATCCATCACCACCCTTTAGACCCCCTCACTCTCACATAATTCACCAGAGTCTCTCCTCTCCGTCGCTTTCTTCTTACCCTACCTCCAAGTCTCCACCGCGAAATCAGTGGAGAACGAGCGACATCTCATAACATTTTAGATCTCCAACACCTAATCTAACAGTGTGAAAAATTTCGAAAGATCGACCAATCTGAATTAATGTACAACCCCACTCAATGCCTATTTAAGATAAAAAATAGTAAACGAAACCACATTCGAATTTTCTCCACTTTCAATATAAAATTTCAGATGTGAATGGACATGAAATCTCAGATCATGGTAGTGGTACAAGTGATGACAAAGACGAAACCTTGGTCGGGCGAAGCCGTGATGACTGACGACATCGAGTTTCAATGGCAAGTGAGGCAGTGGGGCGCTAGTGATCGATGATGAAGTTATAGGGAGAGATTATATAGATGATTGAGTTATGCTCGAGTTTTGTTAGAAAGAGAAGAGGGAGAATTGACAAATACACTATTCTCTTTAAATAAAACAAAAAGAAAAAATAATAATTGCATTCATAGTCTCCTTTAAAAAAAAAAGCGTAACGAGTCTCAAATAAAAGATTAAAAGGGTAATTAGTACACAGTGTCCATACATTTTACTATTATATCGGAAAACGTCCATACATTTCATTTTTTGACATTTTTACCCTTAATTACACATTTGATTGCGCAAATCATTATTTTTATCCAATTTCTCATGAAATGATGAATATATCATCATATTTTAAAAAAATAAAAAATAATTTCTAATTTTCTAATAATTTATTTGAGGCTCGTTTTCATTTTTTTTAAAGTATAATTTTCTATTTTTAATAATTTATTTGGGATTTGTTTGCACTTTTTTTAAAAATTGGGACTATGATTGCAATTAATTCTTTGTTTTTTTTTTTTTAATTTAAATACGATGGTATATTCATAATTTCACAGCTTTTCATTAAGAAATTGAATACAAATAGATAGAAATGAAGGTTTGCACAATCAAATGTGTAATTAAGAGTGAAAATGTTCAAGAAAGAAAAGTATGAATGTTTTTGGCAATAATAGCAAAAAGTAGAAATATTATGTGCTATTACCCCTCTCATAATTTATTTATGACTTATTTGCGCTTTTTTAAAAAATATGGGACTATCATTGTAATTAAATTTTTATTTTTATTTTATTTAAAGAGGAGAGTATATTCGTCATTTCACAATTTTTAATTGAAAAAATAAATGAAAGGACCTCTTGCGCAATAAAGGGTAGATGTGAAAGGTAATGACGTTTTCACTACAATAGTGAAATGTAGGAAGTTATGTGCTAATTACCATAATTTAAAAATAGGTGTGGATATAATTTTCTCATAAAATTATAGTTCTAAAATCCAACATAAACATAGATTTTTTAGTTCTCGTGCTGGTTGTACTTGGTATGTTTATCAATTTCGTGAAACAGTCACGAGTTAATTTTCACCCAATTTTATTATTAAAACTCATTCACTTTGAAATCGATATAGGTGAGATTTCCATATTAATGGACAATGCCATACAAAAATGTTTTAGTATCGATTTATTATCAACAACTGTTTTAAAATGACAATGATACATGTCCAAAGTCCAGATAGTTTAGTTTGATTATATTCCTTTTGTTATTTAGGCCTTGTTTAGTTTGGATTTTCCTTCTTCCACAATTGATTTTCCACTAGTTAACTTTTGACCGTTAGACACAACAGCTTAACCGTAATTGTGGAAAAGTGACCGTTGTTGGGCTCCAACGGTAGCATTTCTGCTGTTAATTGAAAATGAAGCCACACCAGACAGCTTCTTAATAAATAAATAGTTGTTAAGTTAAATATTAAATTTATATAACGTTTCCACTATATTTTGCGTTTGATTTTTGTTTTCATGCAATCTAAGTTAGAAGAATACCTTAAAAGATACTTTTAAATTCTCCAAAGATTGTAAGGATTTGTGATCAATTCGAATCGACGATGGTTGACAAAAATTGTCATCGATCGTTGGGGAATGGGTCTCGCGTGGCTGCGTGGGGTGAGGTTGGGGATGATTTTTTCATTTTCGTTTAAATTAAGCAATTAACAAATACACTGAAAGTCTTTTTTTTTTTTTTTCAAATAATTGTGAAAATTCAAATAGTTAGGTCTTGAATCCGCATAGAGGCAATACGACGGGACCATTTCCGATTAAAAAGTAACTCTTATAAACTTACCTAAACACGAGTGAAATCTTCAACAATCTCATATTCACTTTTCGACTATACCGCGAACACAGTAACCCTAATTCTCTCTATTTCACACACAACACTCAATTTATAAAATTCTAGGGTTTAATTTATAAGTTTTACGTATTTTCGGTTTAATTTTTATTCTTCGTGTTGGATTTAGGGTTTTTGAGAAAGAGGAGAGAGATGGCAGGGAAGGAGCAAGACAACCGTATATTTGTAGGAGGTTTATCGCGGGACATCACTGAGCGTCAGCTGGTGGGTTATAATTAATTTTTTTCTGATTTCAAACTATTATTGATAGAAATTGAAGCGTCAATTTGAGTTCGTCCATAATTTTGGAGTGCAAGAAAGAATTGATAGCTTAACCACTTCTTAAATTTTCTTAAAAACTTTTGAAAGAAATTTTTGTTTCCAACCAACCTGGATGGGATAGGAAAAGATGATTTTGATGATGAAAGGACATAAGAAGTCTTTGAAAAGTTTATCTAAAATGCATTAAATTTTAAGAGAATCGTGACATCAGAGAAAGAGGTTTACTGATATGGATGAATAACTTGGGACACATGGTTCATATAACTCTCTGAATGGGTTCTGTGTTTTGGTTTTGTTAATTAATTAAGGCTGGTATTGGGCTTAGTGAATTCACGAGATGGAAAAGTTAACTTATCTTTACCTTTTTACATCAACCAAACACTCAGAATATGCAACGTTATGTGTTGATTATTCTTGTGTCTCTCTGATTATTCTATAATATGAAATATTAATATATCATTGTGAAAGTTAATGGCGTGCTGCAAAATTTATGAAGAAACACATGAATTTGTTTTTTAGTGTTCTTAATTTTGTTTGCACCATCATATTAACCTCCCTTTTTTTCTTCTTTTATGTTGGTTATTAGGCATTTTTTCTTTTGCCTGAATGTGGGGTGTTGTACTGACGAGACATTGAACAGATTATGCGGTTCCGGGTGGTAAGATGGTTGAGAACGGCTGAGATAGAGTTTCCTTCTGTGAACTCAGGGATTAACTTAATTAAAGTGTTCTTGATGTGCTCAACTAATAGTTGTATGGTAATGGTATAAGGCAAAGCAGTTGATCTTTTTGGAGTGAAAGACATGCTCGAACACCATCTTTTGCCAGTCTTACTGTCAATCATTCGGATCGATCGACATCTTTAGTCTGACATGATAATAATGTGCAACCTTCTTACATGAGAGACCTTGGTTGTGTTCATCTCACGTACAAATTCTGGGCCCTCAAGTCCTGCATACATTTCTCCCATTCCTCCCATTCCTCGGTGTCAAAACTGCCCCTTTTGGTTATTGAACTCTTTCACTGTTCCGAAGCTTTTAGTTTCACAAAAGGGAGACAGTAGTTGAAGTTTTGATACAGGATTTGCAATAAATCTGTAAGATAGTTTAAGATTTGCTACTTATGAGAGCTTTTGGTTGCATTGGAATATGCCAAGTTGCTGAAGTGTGTGGTAGGTTGTGTTACATGGATTCCATTCGCACAGTTGTTTCTGACGAGTTTATAAAATCATTCATGTACAGCTGTGTTACTGGATGTTGCCAGTTTTAGTTGGGATATGCTCGAGTCTTTTGCTGGGTCAAGCATAGCTGCTGTTTGTTTGGAAAAGGCTGCATTATCGTGTTTCACTATTCAATTCCCATTAAGAAAGTTAGTCGGTGATTATTTATCCTTATGGACCATAATGCATAATTTACTTAAAATGAGGTTCAGAGGTTAGATGATGATGGGTACTCTGAGATCGATGGATAATTGAGAAGTTTTTTAATTCTTATCGCCGTCCCTGGATTTTGGCACCGTATAAGATTCATTTCTGATTCTGTGGAAAACTTATTTGATTAAGACTTGTGTCATTTGATTTGAGTATGCCATGTTTTTTGTGTGGTTTTGGGGAAAAAATTCTTCGTTTAAACTCATTGAGCAATCACAACATGCTTCTCCCTTTTATGATGTCCGAAAGGTTTCACTAATATCAACTTACTTTTTCTAATAACTTGTGAAAGTCTTCAAGGATGGTTTATTATAATTTGTTGATTGTACCTATATCACTTACTATCAATAGCTGCATAAGGTGGCTACCAGAGAGTTTCTTGAATCAGTTTTATTTTGAGTTTTTTTTGGTAGACTCATCCGTGTTTTCCATGCTTGAATCCATAGAGTTCAGATTTTATGTCTAAGATGCAAGTACATTGGAGAACAAACTCAGCACTTAGATATATTGACACGTCTAGTTTGTAGTCAGTTTCCAAAAGTTATCTGCTATGTCTTTCCAATTTTGAATGACTGATGTTCATGAAGCTTCTGTCACCTCCAACAGTTGCATTGTTTTGAGCAGCATATTAGCTCAGATGAGTACATATAATTAAAAGGCAATGCTAGATGTGACCCAGAGAATTTGTCCAGGAAATTTGACTGTGTATTAACTTTTGTGAGTATTCAGTTTATGGAGGAGCTTTTGTTCCAAGCAAGATTTTAGGTGAGGGTCACTTCTACTGGTCAATCTTGGCAGAGACTGTAATTTGAGAATGTATATCCTCATATTTGGTCAACGAATAGGTTCAGTACTCTTTCTGGTTGAGTGCACGAAGTCTTTCTGACAGGTGACCAAGTGGTGAAGATGGTGGGGATTTGAAGCAGAATTCTGTTTTCACTGTGTTTCAGCATCACACTACAGTACAAGTTTTAGAAATCACTTTGCCTTGCTACTTTCGTCCTCTTTATTGAACCTGTTTTGAACTGTTGTTGGGGCTGTACAAAAGAAACAATATTTGTGAAGAAGCTTCTTCGGTGGAAATGCTTATCCTGTTTCGGTTAAACACTTTGAGCCTTTTTTTGCTGCCAATTGTGTTCAAGTAGCTTCCAGTTGAAATGTTTAAGTTGTACAAATAATCATCCAGTTTGCAGAACCGAAAAAACAGCTGGAGTAGATTGTCATATGGTGATCATGTATCTGGTTGAGAAAAGGTGCTTTCTTGTCTAACGTTCAACAAAATAGTGGTGTCAGTAATGAGACCAAGTGGCTATGCTCAGTGCAATTATGCAAATTGAGTTAGCATACTGCATACGTTGTTCGACAAATTCATTGCTTTGGATAAATGAAGACTTGTAATGACCAAGTTTGTCTTGGACGATTCTTGGAGAAATGCATGCCTTCATGTTGTTCTTTTGATGTGACTGCATGTTGAACTGAGTAAGATTTGTTGTGTTTTTTTTTTTTTGGTATCTACTGTTGCTCAAAGTATACTGGTTTACAGCAAGATTTTAAGTAATTTGAAAGAATTACAATAATGGGAATCAGGTCAAGTGGCCATCAGTAAGGAACCTATTTGTGTGGTTGTATAATAAGTTCAGTTATGTGGAATTTGAGGCCTGAGTAAAATTTAAAATATCAGATGATGGAAATCAGTTCAGATTCTTCTACTCATGTAAGAGTTCTTTGCTATTGAACATGTTATCTTCCTTGTATTATTAATAGCTCGAAAGGTAAAATCCATGGCATGCATTGACAACTCTAATGGTATTCATTCCCTAGTAGTTTAAATTCTCTAGTCTGCTGGATTTTTATCATATTTTCTGAATATTGAATTCATTTTGTTGTATGGGATGTCATCTGTAGTTTTGAGGTTCTCAAGTGTTGGAGTGTTCATGTAGATTATGCTGGAAAGAGATTCTGGCCGCCCCCGTGGATTTGGATTTGTGACCTTCGCAGACCGACGTGCAGTGGAAGATGCGATAGGGGATATGCATGGTAGGGAGTTTGGCGATCGAGTCATCTCTGTGAACAAGGCCCAGCCTAAATCAGGGGATGAAGATCCGGAACATGGCTATGGAGGTTATTCAGGTGGCAGGGGCGGCAGGGGAAGGGGAAGCTACAGTGGAGACCGTTCATCGGGGCTGGATGATTGCTTCAAATGTGGTCGACCAGGTCACTGGGCCCGAGATTGTCCTTCAGCAAGTGGTGGCCGAGGTGCTCGTCCATTCTTGCCTCCGCGTTCTGGGTATGGTGGGGCTGGTAGTCGTGGGGATCGCTATGCAGTTGATCGTGACAGATACATAGACGATAGATATGACAGAGGTCGTTATGGTGATAGCGATAGGTATGAAGATCGATATGGGAGCCGTGATCGGTATGTTAAAGACAGGTACTTTAGATATAATTAATAATTTACATAGACATCGTCATTTTCTGTTAGCACTTCCCCATTTACCTAAAACGAATAGATATTTGGCTGAGATTATTTAATAGTTTGAGGAAGAGTATATATATGGATAAGCTAAACAAGGTCGTCACTTTTTTTTTGTTCTTCTTTTCCAATCGTCAGGATTCAAGAAAAAAAGTGTTGTTTACTTTAAAAGTAATTTTACCAACTTAGTTCCAGCATTGACCAATAAAAGAAACACTTTTTTTTAATGCTTAACATTTACTTGTACCCAAATTTACTTAAGCTTAGCTAAAAACATGCTTTCTGGAATCTTTAGTCTATACGAGTTACCACCAGGAAACTGGTGCTGGTAACAGTGCAAGCCTATAAACTATATTTCGTAATTGTGGTCAACTATTACGTGATTTTTAATTATAATTTCTCATTTATAAGCAGTTATCCTCCTGCTGGAGATAGATATGCATTTGATCGGTACGCAAACTCTGATCGTTATCCCAATGGAAATGGCAAAGATAGAGGCTACGATAGAGATGGAGGCGGGGGGCCTGCTCGTTATGAAGGAAGAAATTATAGGGACAGAGCAGGTCCTTATGACCGCCCAAGGCGAGGACGACCTTCTTCCTTTGACCGGTACTAGAAATTCTGCAGTTTTAGAGATAACAAGGTCTTTATACTTTTGACGTATTCACATTTTAGTAAATTTCGAAAATTTCTTATCAATATTCGTCCTTCATCTTGTTTTAAGGATCGTGCTAAAATTGAACGTTATTTGCCTAGTGGAAAATTTACGTTTAATATTACTTTGATGTTGTTGGAGCCTATCAATTATGTACAATACTGGGGCCTCCAGTCTACAACAAATTTGAAAGTTCCACCTTTTTCTTTCAATTTTATATAAATAATAATGGGAGTTATTGTAAACCACCATGGTTGGTGGTAAGGTACAAAATTAGAAGAGAGAAAAACAGGGTGGCGGATGGATATGATCGTGTTGAGGCTCCACCGCTCCCAAACATCATTCCGAAGAAGTCACCATCTCCGCCACCATTACTGCTTCCGCCATTACTGCTTCCGCCAGTGGTGGTGCTGCTGCTACCGTGCATGATAAAACTATTGTCCCTGCACACGGCGTAAGTACACTTATATGAGCAAGAGATTTTATAACAAAATCATAAATAGAAAGGGTCTTTAGAGATGAAATAGTTTTGTTGGAGGCACTCATCAAACATGACATTATCAAGAGAAATTCATAGTCAAAGCATCCTTTTGACACATGTTAATTTCTCATTTTTATTCTTTATTTCAACCACACATTTTTTAAATAAAATAATACTACACACAAATCAAAAAAAATTCATCACTTATTCACCACACATTCTCATATCAATCACTATTTCAAAATTTCTATTCTCCTCAAAATTAGATTCAAATACCCCGCCTCCACCCTACCCTACTGTCACATGATACTACAGGCAAACCTCGTTTTCATTGTAGTAGTCTGAAATAACAGAAAGACGTTGGATGGACCCTCACCTCTCATGGTCCCACCCCACTCCACCCACCGACCCTCGCATGTTGATAAACAGAAACACCTTGTCTATTTCAATAGTTTACGTACAAATAGGAATCCCGTGTAACAAAGTGGCTCACAGCTTGATCTAGATTTGGTTCCCACTAAAATATTAATACATTTTTTTTTTCCTTTTCAATTACATATTATTCAATAAAGCCCTTATTTGACAACCATTTTTTTTTATTCTATTTCTCTTTTTTCATTTCAACCACATTCTATTAATAAAATATTTCTCATTCTATTTCTGTTTCTTCATTTCAACCACACATTCTATTAATAAAATAATATTACATATAAACCAAAAAATTCTCCTTACTTTTTAACCACACAATCTTCCATCAATCACTATTCCAAAAATTATTTTTCAAAAAAAAATGAGTGTCAAACAAGGGCAAGATAATATTATACGTAAATCGAAAATTTTTCCTTCCTTTTCAATCACTCAATTTCTAAAAAATCAAAAAATACTATTCTAAAAATTATAATCAGCCAAAACCCCTGTCAACTTGCTAACAACGATGGGACATTATATAGGAATTGTCAATGCCAGCGTAGCGGGTCATCATCTCTAATTATACTTTTAATTATTTTGGGCTTGAGTGGTAATTAAGCATTAAAAAGGAGTGCATGTACCAGCAGATAGGCACAATGAAAAGCCCTTTTCCAGGACATCCAACAAATGGTAGGGCCCACATCTTCAATTTCTCAAAGAGGGTCCCACTCTCATGGGCCATGGAGCAGAGAGAATCTATAACACATGCTATGTCGATTCCCCAACAATATCCTTGGCGAACATGCTTTTGAACATGGCTCAAACATAATTCCATGCATTTCTTTACTCCGACGACGGTCGAGGTCGATTATGTGAATCCTTGTACCCACAAGTGTTATTCTTGACAAAGAGTCGAGTCCAAAAATCATTTTTTTTCACTATTCTACTTTTTTGTTCATCGCTAATTAGATACAAATAGCGAAGTATATTTTAATTTTAATTCTGGCCTTCTGGGCGACTTAAAATAAGTGCTCTTTATCTGGTAACACGTGCCCTGTTCGATCTACATTCTTTAAAAAATGCAATTTTTCAATACTCATTTTCAATCACACAATTTTCAATAAAATAATATTACACTCAAATTTAAAACTTTTTTTTATTCAATCATATATTTTTCATCACATCGACATTTAAAATGCATTCTTTCCTTACGAAGCGTATCAAATTGGGGCTTTAATAGGTCCACTAAGAGGAATATTCTGGCCTGTTCACAATATAAAAGTACTTTTTGGAAACCCTAATAGTCAATTAGGACAGCTCAAGATTGTAATGCTATTGGTCAGATGACGCTTAAAGCGCAGAGGATCACGTGAACCAATGTACCCCATTTCTGCCTCGGATATTTACTATTTCCAAGCCTTTTTCTTGTAATAATTGGCTGAAAAATTGATATATATTACGGGCGTGTTTGAGCCATATTATTTTGGAATAGTATATTAATGAAAAACGTGTGGTTGAAAAAGAAAGAAAAGTCATTGATACGATGAAAAATATTATTTTATCGAAAAATATGTGGTTGAAAATGAATAAAAGAATGAAAACGAAAATTTTAATGTGGCTCAAACAGGGGCTACATGAAGCTAGGTGAGCGGGTCATGAAGTGCTGACTGTATAGCTATATAACCCATGCAATATGTTAAGGACCAACGTATTATTTATTTATTTATTTTTTTGCAAAATTTTAAATTTAAATTAAGAATTTTGTAAAGGTGGATAAAGCAAAAGATAGAAACACCGTTATTTTTTGACAGTTAAAGTGACTAGTATTTTTCAGTAGTAATAAAGTAAAAGCAAACAGGTGAGTGTGTACCTCGGCCCACCAAGGACACCAGCGTTCGTCGTAAGACTGTCAACGAGGACAGAGGATTTGGGCTCAACACTGGACGCCTTCGCGTATTGGGTGCTGAACCCTCCACCGGAAGGCACAAAGAATGCACCATTTACCATTGTGTCTCCGTCTGATCGCCAATTCCAATTGCTCCACTGACCCTCGTCCGTGTCGCATCGCTTGGTCACCTGTCAAACAATGTTTAGATGCTAAAAATATATTGCGTCAAGGCCGAATCGTTCCTTTCTATTCTAAAAAATTGCAACAAGAAAACTTATGGTTCATCTGGTTCCCTCCCTGTTTAATTAACAGTCACTTGACTGTTTTTTCCCCCAGTTTTTAAGGACTGTTTTCAGACTATATAACCGAACAAGTTTTCGAGCAATATCTCAATTTTCCTAGCCGAAACAGCAGGGCTGGTTTTCAAGACTCTGTTCATTATCACTAGGATAGAGTGATAAATGATGCCTACCCACACATCCAAAAGTTAAGCATGCACACACTTTCACGGCGCTGTATTGCTTAAAAGTTGAAATAAAATTATGATCAACAGAAAATTGTTAAGAGACAAGATTATAGCAAGTAAGACTAACGTATAACGCAACATCGAATGCCTATGGATCAATACATGTACCTATTTGGTACACAAAAGTTTCCATGAACTACAAGTGTTAACACAATTAAAAGGTTTCATCATTTGCAACTATCAAACTTGGTCCACATTAAGTGGATTAGGGCATTCGATGACATCCTTGAAGATCATAGTTTATCTTTTTCTTTGGTCGGGGTCAAAAGAATACAATGAACATGTTATATTTCCATCTCGCAACAATTACCAAACCAATCATTTTCTCTACTAAGACCATAAAATCTTGCAAAGGAAATAAAAAATGTTGAGTTAAAATGTAAATTACCTCCTTAGCACTCGGATCAGATGGTGCTGTGTAGCGATTCCCCTGACTATTAATGGTTGGATTACCACTTCCACCAATAGCATACATCTTCCATTCAGTAATATCGTTGTTCACCACATGGATGTACCCTCTCCTACATCTTGGCATCCTCTGTACCAAACCTTCTCCAAAGTAATTGAAAGCTATTGTCACCTGCACAAAAGAACATTTTAGTTCAAGAGTGAAGCTAACATTTGCGAGCAACCAAATCTCGTGGTCAAATCTTGGGTTTAGGGATTGATTATAACATTTAACATGGATAGTTTTTGTAACCTGCATTCCAGAGTCAGGCAAGTATTTGTCGTCATGTCCCAAGAGCATGACCTCATTATGGTAAGAGAAATAGCTATTAGAAATGGTTATAGCAGTGGATCCCATGATGGCATCAACCAAGCCATCAGTACAATGGGACAAAGCACAATGATCAATCCAAATATTCCTCGACCCGAAAATGGATATCCCATCACCATCCGATTTGCCTCTATATCCAACATGTGTTGGACTTGACCTAATGTTAGTATTCCCTGAGGGTCTACAATCGTAAATGTGCACACTGTGAATTATCACATTGCTAATATACTGCAAAGTTAAGCAGCCATTGCCTGTTATCTGCACATTCGCACCACGGCCATCAATTGTCTTGTAACTATTAATAATGAGCTCATGTTTGAGCTTAATAACCATGTTTGACTGGAAAACTATCCATAGAGGTTCATCTTGGATGACTGCATGGCGGAGGGTGCCTGGGGTGGGGTTGACTGTGTCATGGTCCGAGGAGTCATTAACTATGTAAATTTGGCCGCCTTTGCCTCCCAATGCACCCTGGCCAAAGCCAATGGCACAGTCCGCTAGGCGTTGGCGGTTGTTGGCCCAGTTGGAGTCACACCTCCAACAGTCATCTATTGGATTGCCTGTGAGACATTGGGACTGACCCTTCACTGAGGTGGATAGCAAATCCCTTCTTGATAGAGATACATTGACACTCCTGTAAAACATCATAAAAATAAAATCCAAAAATGTAATTCAGATTGTGCTGGAAATATATGGGAACTGTACATTTGCAATTTTTGGGGTAAAAAAATGGAAGTCATTAATGTAAATTGCTAATAATGAAGAAAACAAAAATAATACTTTTGGCATGAAATAATGGACTACAGCTGGAAGGCATTTCTTCACTAATTGGGGAAATGTGTAAAAGACCATGAGAAAACAGGGTAATGTAAGCAATCAAAGTAGCTTTCTTGATGAAGTAAGTGATTACCAGATAAAAAATGATTAAAAAAATCAAACCAAGAAACAATTACATAGATTCAAAATCATGTTGGACAGAGAATGGCATGAAGAGAGATGTTCTTGTCAAACTATATGCTCTGAAAAAAAGGCACACTAATGTGAAATTGCAACAATGAGCATAACCCAGGTGCGGATTTTTTTGGATGAACTGTTAAGAGAAGAAACCCAATCTTTAAGATCTGAAATAAGCAAAACCCAAATAGAACTTTTTTCATATCTTTCTAAACAAACAGAGAAATGCCCACTAACCAACATGACAAAATGCTGTAATGAGCAAAACCCAGATGGGATATTGAGCCATATTTTGCACAATGTCTCTAGTACTGTATGTATATATGTACGCATACCTCTGTACTTCTTGAACCACAGCTTCAGGGTTGGGGTGTTGATTTGGTAGAGTGAGATTCAAACTTGTAGCTGCTCTAATCAAAGAAGGAACACAAAACAAGAAGCAAAACAAGAAAATGCAGGTTTCTGGGAGCATCGTTGGAGTGGGGGTGGGGTGTAGAAGTGTGACGGTCCTGCTTGTTTCTTAGTTTTTGCTTCTGTACTGCAAGAGAACCTAAACCATGAAAGAAATGTATTGCTTCTTGAATGCACAGTTCAGGTTGCAGATTTTAGAAAAAAAAATGTGTTGCTTATATAAAGACAACAGCATTGCATATAATAATGTAGTGACTACATATTTATTGAAGGGAAAAAAAAAAAACAAATATCCGTGTAAAATAATGTTTATTTTTTTGGTTAGGGTTTTGGGCAGTTATTTATTTATTTTATTTTATTTTAAGAAAGGAAGAGACTTTGGCACTGGATGCAATGGGAACAGAACCCCATGAAAGCCTTTTCTCTGTGTGTGTGTGTGAGAGAGAGAGAGAGAGAGAGAGAGAGTGAGTGCAGCCTGTCTCCTGCTGCACAGTTCACATTCTTACCTCGCTAGCTAATTTATTTCTCCAAGATAAAAATGTAGTCTGGCTCGAGTGCTTACAATCTATATTTTGAGAGTAATGTTATTCATCCCCAGTGGGGATGAAAATACAGTCTACGTGACTTTAAATGATGGTTAAATGAAACGTGAAATTAAATGACTTATTTAATTTCACCTATCATTTAATGCCACATTGACGCCATGTAGACCGTGTTTCCATTCCCAATGAGAATGAATAGCATTACTCATATTTTTAGTAGGCGGCTCAACTTAGCTTGACCCAGTTTTGAAGCGAGTGCAATCAATATTTTCTAGTAGGCTCAACTCCTCCCACCACTTACAAACCACATTTTCTAGTGGACGCTACTCAGTTCAATCTACTTTTCGGCTGGTCGCCATCCATATATCCTGGCAAGACAGCCTGCCATAAGANTCGCCATCCATATATCCTGGCAAGACAGCCTGCCATAAGATTGTGAGGCCTAGTAAGGCTTGAATAGGATCGGCCCGCAAAAGTGAGTCAGGCCAAATCAATTCGAATTTAGTCCGTTTTGACAATTATTAAAATGAGTTTTAAAATAATGATTTTGTTTTTTTAGAATTCGCGGTTAAAAAGTAACAAAATTTTTTGAGTTTACATGTTTTATTGTGAGAATGTATGAATTTCGAGAAAAAATTGTTTTACTGATTAACAAACAGGAGTTTAATATCTAGCTACACCTACACGAACTTTTAAACCACTTTGTTCATTTCATTTTTAAGTTGAATGCACTCTACTCTCTTCTAACACGTTCAAATGTTGTCTAAGCAAAAAAAGATTAAATGTGTGTTTGATGGATATTATTGAGAAAAGAATGTATTTTAAATAGTGATATAATTGGAAATATGTGGTTAAAAAGTAAGGAAAAATTATTGATGTAATGAAAAATATTATTGAAAAATGTGTGATTGAAAATGAATTTTGAAAGAATGTGTGTCAAAATGAGCTAAACGTTTATTTGTGGGAAGGAAGCTAGATGAGTTGTCCTCTGTTCTCATAACAAATTTCAAAGTATGACAGTCCAATTTTGACTTTATGGGACAGTGAATTACATGTGTATCTGCCTTTCTTTTTCTTGACTAAAGCGACAGCTCCTCTTGCAGAACCTTTTAATCTGAATGATTATCCAACTTTAATGATTCTTACTACTTTTTAATTATTTCAAGATCACGTCTTTAGTTGGAGACTAAACAAATCTTAATTACTGTTTCATCGTATCACCTTTTTGTTTTTTACTCCAGTCGAAGTTGAATACTTTAATCTTTGACGCATAGCATCGACTTTCTCTAGTTTAATGTCCAGACGAGTCTCTCAAAACTCAAAAGAATTTATTGTTGATTAGCAATTACAGACAGTTTCAACTTTTGTACAACAAAACTAACAAAATGTAAAAAATATTTAAAAGATTATCGATCTTTAAACCTGTAATTAAGCACATTGACATTCTCAATCTGCTTGTTAGCAGTAAAACGAAAGGTGCAGCATAAAATTCAACTACACGTGAAAATTCAATCAATGGTCATCCTCTGTTTTTTCTTCCCCCCATTTTTTTTCCTGTGTATATATGGTTTCCTTTAAGCAACAGAGTCGAATAATAATTTATCTTTCCCAGGATATATTAGTTTCAAAAACTGCTGCTCAGGCCATATGTTTCTGTAATCTCAGTGAAGACAATAACATGAGGTTGAGCTTAAGGCCACACACAAACGTTTTTAGCCCGTTAAAAACTTGCTTGATAAATGCAGTCGAAGGCTGTGCAATGTCCAGAAGTGCGTTCAAAACCTGTTTTAATCCAACAAAAGAATGCAAATTCTTAAAATCTACCTCAGAAACAAAGGAAAATGCATGAAAAAGAAGAGACTGCAGCCTAAGTAATTGCCGGGCATCTGATGATTTAGACTTTTAACTGGTGAGGATTACAGTGAGTCATTATCAGATTGATCTTCGATTTCAGCTTTACAAATTTCAAGGATACTCGTGCTCAATCTCTCATATTAGCAGCAGAACAAATATAGATAAGGCAAGAAAAAGCCGGGTACGAAATTTCTTGTTCTTAGTTTAGAGCATGTTAGGCGAAGCTTAAAAGTAGGTCCAACTTTTAATTTTTGTTTTGAAATATGTTTGGAAACGTTGAATGATTCGTTTTCACTGCCACGTAGGGTTAATTTCAATACAAATTACAAATGTTGACCAGCATAAAAATATTTTAGAATTTAATTAAACTTGAATGTTAATTTATCAAGCTTACCCAGGCATGCACTTAATTAATCACCATAAGCAATAAGCAATAGATGCTTGAGCAGAGATTGCAAGTGGCGGGGAAAGAGCGGGTAAACAATGGGAAGAAAATAATGCCACTATAATTCAATTTTTGCAGGAGAAGCTATAGCATAAAGCCATATTATCATGCATGACTTTTCGAGGAGATTCAATCCTTATAAAACCCCGGGTCGTTAAAAGGAATATAAAAAACTTAAAGAAAGTTACCCGCATTGTTAATACCACGTGCCAGTTTTCACTTCCAAACGATGTCCCCTAAAAACTGAAGAGCAGGAACGCCTCTGATTTCTACATCAACAAGAGGTGCCTGGATCATCGTCAAGCTGGAGAGCTCCGGATCACTCTTGATCATGCTGATAGAACGCGCTTGATCCTGTAAAATGCAGGCGGTCAATACAATTATGATAAGAATAAATACCGGAAGTCCAAGTAGGTGTCAACACGTCATATTCATGCCTATAAATTATTTGCTTAGTTCCACTCAAAACAGAATATTCGAAAAATCACACAGAAAAGTGCACTTCATGTTCATCACATTTGTGGTGGTAGGAGTTGGTATATCACGTCTTCTTTCAACAGAAACAAGATTAAAACTAAAATCACAAACATCATTTTATCCCCCTGAGGATCTAAAAAGTTTTAGTAGATATATGAGTTTTGCTCAGAGTCTAGAGAAAAAAGACGAATAAACTTTAAAATATATAATATGCATGTTTAGCTAAGCTTAAAACATATACTTATAATTACGTTACTATAAGTAAATTAGTTTCAAAACAAATAACTTCTTTTATTCGTCACAATTGAAAATAAGTTACTTATTTTGAAAGTAATTAGAAAGTAACATTTGTATTGTTGTCAAAATAAGTTTCTTTTCCTTGTAAGAAAGAAGTTAGTAACCCAAGTCACAGTTTTAGCATAGCACAATCATGCATATATCAACACGGTTTCCAACTTTCTTCTATAATTAACATCAAAGCTACATCCATAAGTGAGAAACTAATTCGCTTGATCCTCGTGAAAGCGCGTTATAAGAAGCCCCTGTTTGGACTCATTAATTTCAAAATACATTATTCTCTCTCTTCTTTTCAACCACACATTTTTCAATAAAATAATATTACACGTAAACCCAAAACTTTTCCTTTTTTTTAACCACACATTCTTCAAAATGTTACTATTACAAAATACATTTTTTCTCAAAAATTAATTATAATGGAGCTCAAATAGGGGCTAAATCTGTTTGTGGGCTTGACCATTGGGAGCTTTTCACACACGTTAAAAACTTACAAGGAGGATGACAGATTGTCATTTTTATTCATTTTTGTAGACTGGCTCCAGAAACAATTCACAAATTTATGAATTAGCTTAGACAACTCCACGAGATAAAGGAAGGATATGAAGGTGAACTATGGGCATAACAGCACAAGTAAAAGATGTGAATCAAATGCAACTTCAAAATGACCATGACCATAACTCAGTTCCAGTTTCCTTCATTGATATATGATAGTAGACTTCATTTTACTCCTCCTGAATAGCTTTAAGAGCAAATTTGGCTAAGCATAAAAAGTTTACTAATATGTGAGTAAGTCTAAAATAAATATTTTTTTATTGATCAAAGTTCGACATAAGTTTTTGCTATTAGTGTCAAAATAAGTAAGAAAAACTAATGTAACCCAAGCTTCGGCAATCATGCTCTTAATACAAATTTAAGATGGGGGACTATTTTACCTTCCTCTTCATTGCACAGAACTTGCAATCAGAGGTGGATGGAGGAAGAATTTGGTTGACTACAAGTCTCTTGACAGGGACATTATCCTTTTTAAGAGAAGAACATAATCTTGATGACTCACTTATGGCCATCACCTGAACAACAAGATTTAAGAGTAAATATCATCCAATTTTATATGGTTCGTCCATAAAACTCAAATAACAATGACTTCAAACCAATTTGACTAAATTTTTATTTCAGCTTTAAATTGCAAATAAATCTGCAGTAATTCATTTACCAACATAAGAAAAACATTTTCAAATATTCCTCACAAGGACAAAGACAGAATGAGGTGTGAAAACAACAATATGGTGGATTTTTCATGCAAAAAGATATGATGCTTTCATTCAACCTGAATCAGACAATAGCCACAGCTAATTACTACAATCGAACATGATAGCTACTAAACGAAATGGGAATCTATAAATGGCCGTTACCGTGGGGATTGTTACAATGACAAATTCTGTTGAGTTTGTGTCACGAAAGAGCTCCCTCACTTTTATCATCCTCTCCCTTAGTTTCTCTAATTTGTCAGCCTACAAATTAGAAGAAATAGTAAAGTCAGAAATTCAATTTATTTGGGTAATAAAGAAAATGTTTCTGGTATTAAAGAAAGAAGCTTACAGCATTTGTCTGGTTTTCTTGCTGACCGAAGACAGATTTTAGGGCTGAAGTAGCCGAAAATATCTTTTGCTTCAACTGCAATAGGCATTATGAATGAAAAACTGAGAAATAGAGAGAGGGGGATGGAGATGGAGATGGAGAAACACTAAATTAAACAATCTATTTATGTCTTTTATACCACCATGATATAATTCTCTCTCACATGCATATGCATGCAAGCATCTTGCACTCCCACAGAACTAGACGGGAAGAAATTTTTGGTTTCCATCAAGTTAGATGAACGATATGCAAATATCTATCATATCTCTGTTTGATGGCATGTTTGATCAATCCAAAACTAGATCCCATTTGGTTTACTGCAAAAAAAATGCTCTCATAATACGAGAAAGAAAAGAATCGGGCATCTCCTGATACTTTGGTGGCTATACAAAAGTTTAACAGACAAGAAGAACAAGGAAAGCAAGATATAATTCAAGGAGAGACCAGATTCTATGTAAACTCAAACGCCCACGATCCAGATTTAAGAACGAAAGTAAGTCCATGTGTTTGCAAGTGTTCATGTGCATCTTATTCACAATTTGCAAAAAAAATTATTTGTTTGATTAAGTGTGGCTACCATAGTACTGTGTTTATATATAGTAACGGCCGTTGTAAAACTGGATTAGAGACCTAAATTGTTACCTTCAATATCTTCCCAATTGATGCATCCAAGAAGTCGGGCAAGGATAACAGCCGTAATGTGTGACCCTGTAGTTCCACTTATCAAGGCCAAGGAACTTTCTTCAATGAAATAAAATACAAAAGAATTATTGCTTTCCTCACCATGGGGGCAGTATCAAACACTATTCTAGTAAACATATTGTATTCTTGTGATTCAAGGAATTTCATAACCTGTCAATGAAGTACTTGAATTCAGTAAAAAAGCATGCAGAACTAAATTCTCTTGCCATCAAAATGTAGTAGAACCTTTTGCACTAAACAGAATACATGCCTTTGAAATCGCAATAGCTTCATCTAAACCAGGCGGAGGTGAGTTCAACAATTCTCCCAGCTTTAGTTCCCCAAGCTAGCCAACACAAATTCAAAAGATAACAGAACATTAGAGAGAGGCTAGTTAAGAAAACTACCTCTTCATTATTAAGTACAAGCTTGGACTCCTGATATTACATTTGTCATGGAGAAAGAAGGAAATTGATAAGACGGCTACAGTTAATAAGGATAAAATAAAATGCAGGAGTCAAATTCATTCAATAACTCTCGTGAATCAACCCACAGCAGCAAGAAGCACTTTACATATCATTGGATCAAAATTAATATCTACAAGCAAGTGCATGAAAGTAAAAGGTAAAACAAAGAGACATAACATGGAAACTAAAAAACTGACCAGTGGAAGACATAAAACCTTAAAAATATTACAAATGGGTATGCAGTGAATTTGAAGAAAGATGTTTTTCCCTTCCCTTCCCTTCCCTTCCCATCCCAAGAAGAGTCAGCAAGGGAAAAGAGTTTTTCCCTTCCCTTCTATTCACACATGCATATCCACGTGGGTATGCAGTGAATTTGAAGAATGATGTTTTTACTAAGAATTGAAATACTTCCTCTTCAACCAAAATCAACAAATGGAAGTGGAAAATAGCAATTCTTAAACGAGTTAGGTTTGTTTGCAAAGTGGGTCCATGCGACTCGTTGGCTCGGTTTCTGCTTTCTAATCATTAACAGCCAGATGTTATAAGACCAGGAATTTTCAAGTGGCAGATGACTGAAGACAGAAAACTTTCTGGGTACTATAACTTCAACAAGGATACCAGAAGCCAAACAGTGCCTTTCCCCTTATTCAGTTTTCTCCTAGTACCAAAGATTCAATCACCAAAAAAATAATAAATATAGGAACCGTGTTCCAATAGCAATCCCGAAATTAGTTAAAGTCTGAAGAACCATTGCTCAAGCTAACTTTTGCAGCATTGTTTTCCCTCTGTAGTCGTATTGTGCCATTATTGAAGTTATTTGACACGTTAGGTAAATCAATTTTCAGAGCGGGAATAAGTGAAGATCTTTAAAGTCATATTAGAATTAACAATTCAAGGAAAAAAAGTGACTACATTCATTTTAAGTTTAAAAGTAGATTATAGGACAAAAGTGCACTCCTCTTCTCTGATATGTATGCCTCCGAGTTCTACAATGTCATGTCCATTCTCATGGGAGATCATCAATAGACAAATATAAAAGTGTTTGCATAGGTTGCACGAGGAAATGCAGAGAACAGAGGCACAACCTTGGTGAAGGATGAAGTATCTAATCTTAATACAGTGCTCTGCATTTCGATCTTAATAACAAGATTTTCATTCTTTATGCATGACCACCACTATTGGGAAACTTGAGCTGCTTAAGATAGTAGAATTTAGAACTCTCATTTCAAAGAAACTATAAGTATAACCTGACCATGACAAGGTTTACCTGTTCTGTAAGCGTCCCAAGACCCATGCCATCCATGAAGTCTTTGACTCCACTTCCCCCACTGACACTTCGAAATTCTTCCCTTGCTTTTCAGGGTTTATCTGTCACGGTAAAATTTTCAAAGTTGCTGTTTGAGGCACAATAAAGGTTGTTTCTTTAGATCATAAAACAGTCACGATTTCGATAATAAGTCTATCACTAATAGAAACTAACATTTCTCTACATACCTCAAGAGCAAACAGAGGAGAATAGGGTCCGTCAACTGGTACTAGCGTTCCCCCAGTTAAATCCTGCATGAGAAGCATTACAAGGAAGGCACGCCATATAAATTCTGTGACAATAAAAGATTATTGTTTGAAAAATTGATGGCAAAATTGGAAGTAAAATAATCAATATTCACAACCTGGGCAAAAGAATCACTCAAAGAATGTGCAGGATCAGTTGAAACCACTAGAGTCGGATGACCGTTGTTTGCTAATTTTACGGCAAGGGATGCAGCACAACTCGTCTTTCCAACCCCTCCCTTTCCACCCAACATGTAATACTTGCGTTGAGTTCCCAAGACCATTTCCTCAAAGCCAGCAGTAGCTTCAGATGGAGCAGCAACTGATCTCACTGATAAAAAGAATATACTAAATTGATAAAGTTGCATTACCCCTCAGCTATTATATGAGAAAATCTTCTTGCAGATCAACATTCATATTCCAGAACAACCGAAACTCACAAAGTGGACTGAACAAAAACTCAGCGGTTTACTTTCTAATGCAATAAAACTTAAGTGTTTAGTTGAGTTATACAGAAGCAGGCCAAAAGTTAGCATATTTTTGACCTCTGAATTTTACCCTTAGTGACAGTATAGGGTAGTCAATTACAGGTATGCTCTCTAATTTGTACTTTTTATGGTAACATTTGGATCTACGGTATATACCTAAATTATGCAAGAATGTTAACCAATCATCTTCAATTAACATAGTGTTCTATGTCAGTCACATGCGAACCATTTCAAGCCCAACACAGTAAGCAGTTAACTGAGAGTAATACGGTACAGTCCCACTAACCATTATGATCTCATAATGGGTATTAGTTACAGTGAATAACATCTAGCATGTTTCTCATCTTTTCATCACAAATTTACCTTCCCAGTAACATAAAGAAAATGAATTTAGTATCATTTTTTCGTTGTTGAAAATATAAACATAAACAATCCCCCCCCACCCCCCCAAAAAAAATTTTCCGGGGAAAAACGAAGACGAGCACGCTGATACTAAAATCAAAGACTTCACCTTGAAAAAATGTTCTGGGCATTTTTCTGTCAATAGAAAGAGACAAAAGCTTGGAGCTGAAACTTAGTCTGGAATTCCAGAAACGTGAAACATGAGATTTGAGTGAGTGAGTATAAAAACATTGACTACCCACAATTGCCATTGGCTTCGAATATGAGAAACTGTGAGCAAAAGTAGAAGCGGAAGAAGAACAAATAGCGATTGGGAAATTTGGAAAAGAAGAGTTTCAAGCAAGAAAGAAAGGTCAATGGTTAATTGATTATTGTCTCCGTTGCTTACACGTATATATGCATGTAATCGATGCAGGCTTCTGGTTTCGTTTTGTTCCCACGTTGTCGTTCGTCTTTTCATACAATTTCGACGAAATGGTTTTTATTACATCATTTTCGATCACTAATAATTATTTGTTGAATACCAGATCGTCTTCAAAAATCTGCCAACAAAAGATACCTGAAAATCCATCTTTACACTTCTTCCATCCTCAAACTTTAATTCTTAACATTATTTGTGAATTAGTAGATACATCTAATGACTGTTCCATCCAAAATCGGTGAGAATAGTACTAATTGTCCCCTTGACCCGGTTCAAAGTTTTTTTTGGCCCTTGACCACTTTTATGCATTTAAAAAAAAAACAAAAAAGTTTTCATTTTCTTTTTGCCCTTTATACCCTTCTACCTAAAGACACAAAACCATTGTTTAAACTCACAGTGAAGGCAACGGCTCACAAAGAAAATGGGG